GGTAATTGTAGCACTCCCTTCGAACCATATTAATTATCGCTTATATAGTACAACTTCATACTAAATAAGCGAGCTGAAAATGCCTGTGATGCAAGATGAATCTATCTCATCTTGGAATGCGCAAGGGAGAATGAATACGTCGTTCGTGTTGGACTAATCTGTAGTAGTGTCTCAATGAAAATCACTATGGCATGTTAAATTAAACGACCCCATTTGTTAAGCTCAAAAAAAGACAGCCCAGATGGTTCAGAACCACTCATCCTCACACAAACCATAAGGTAAGGTTCAAGTACCTTCCATAAGGCCACATTTGGTTCACAGATTCTAAGAACACAGGAATTGATATAAATGCATGTGTAAAATAGAGGATTGAAAAACATAAAAAAAAAATGCAGACTTGCGTGTTTGATTCACAGTTGCAGAAAAAACACTGTAATCAATAACAAATATAGTCAAATCAAAGTCAAACCACATTAAAAGGTAGTGTAATCTACATGTTATTGTGCTACTAAGGATATTAGTATTTTTCTTCGTGAGTAGCAATTTGAAAAGGACATCCAAATGAATCGAAAAATCCATGCATTTTCCTTGTAAAACCGAGAACAAAGAGAAAATTCCTTCATTTTTCTCGCTTGTCAAGCGCTCACTTTCCGACAAAGTTTAGTTTCCTCGATTGGGAAAATGCGCCCCCCCCCCCCTGGCCCATTCCATTTGATGATTAGGTGGGGGCTTAAGGCTGGTTGTAATGGGTAGTATCATAAGTTAGTATCATGCATATGATAAAAGTGTATAATACTACCTCCCTAATGCATAGTATCATATGGTAGTATTATAAATGACTTTATTTATTGCCATGCATGACACATACTAGTGTAGCATTTATTATGATACGGTATCATAATATGATACTCAACCCTCTCTTACTTCATTTAATTCTATGCCACCTCATCAAAGTTGTCTAGTTGGCATGCATGATACTAGCTATGATACTCCCATTACAACCAGCCTAATACTGGAAAGCAGGGAGGGCCCATCCCATGAAATCCAATGAGG